GAAGGCCGCGTATAGCCTTATGTAGTGCAGAAAATAAAGGAGGTAGAGCTTAACCTCGGAAGGCCGCGTATAGCCTTATGCAAGAATGGAGACAGAGCTTAGTCTCGGAAGGCCGCGTATAGCCTTATGTAGTGCAGAAAATAAAGGAGGTAGAGCTTAACCTCGGAAGGCCGCGTATAGCCTTATGCAATGCAAAAAGTAAGGGATAGTGGTGATTTTCTTAGCTGGTAGATGATCGTGACATATTGACTGCTGGGGAAATGTTGAGTATAGATAGTAATTCTTTGCGGAGTGAGTACATTGCTTTGAGAGTCTGTTTTTGGGAAATGATTGTGTCGTTCGGCTAGCGCCTCGAATACCTGCATCCAAAGAAAAATCCTGAGTTCTGCGGAGGGGAGGTTAGTTCGTATCCCTCGGCTCGTGACGTTTTGTACCATTTGGGGGTAGCATTGCTGAACGACAGTGATCCAAATAATTTTATGAAGATTTGATAAACTTAATGCAAGTGTGATGCAAGTGTATATATATAAGTAGGGAAAAGACATTTTGTTTTATGATGAACTGACAAACTGCAACGTGGTCCGAGTCACGACAACCTTGCTGGCACCGGAATTTTGAGGGTCCTCCTCAAAATTCTGCCCCAGTTTATTGGGTTGACGCTGGCGCGAAAATTGACAGACTAACTTTGGAATTTTGAGGGTCCTCCTCAAAATTCTGCCCCAGTTCCGAATGCGGGGAAAAATGGAATTTTATTAAAAATGTGACCGAACCCACAGAGCTGCCTACGTATCCCCTCTTAAACGGGAATCAGGTCAGACATAGTTCAAATTACAGCATAAGGGAGCATAGTGACTAAATGTAGTATCTCTTTACTGCATCTGAGTTGATTGGCTTCGGCCAAACTTCTCCTTCCATTTCTGCAAGGATGAGGGCTCCTCCAGTTAGGACCCGGTGAACCATGGGCCTTGCCAGTTGGGAGAGAATTTCCCTTTGGCTTCATCTTGATGTGGGAATATCTTCTTTAACACAAGTCGTCCCGGTGTGAACTTCCTTGGTTGAACTCTCTTGTTGAAGGCTCTAGTCATCCTGTTCTGATATAATTGACCGTGACACACTGCGTTCATTCTCTTTCCATCTATAAGGGCTAACTGCTCGTAGCGACCTTTGACCCATTCTGCGTCGTTTAATTCTGCTTCTTGTATGATCCTTAAAGATGGAATTTCTACCTCGGCAGGAATAACCGCTTCTGTACCGTAAACCAACATGTAGGGAGTTGCTCCGGTTGATGTGCGAACTGTAGTGCGGTAACCCAATAGAGCAAATGATAGCTTCTCTTTCCACTGCTTGTGCTTTTCGATCATCTTCCTCAGTATCTTCTTGATGTTTTTGTTGGCTGCTTCTACGGCTTCGTTCATCTGAGGTCTATAAGCTGTAGAGTTTCTGTGCCTGATTCTGAAAGTTTCGCACATTGCTCTCATCAAATCACTGTTGAGATTGGAACCGTTGTCGGTGATGATTGACTCTGGGATCCCAAACCGACAGACAATACGGTCTCGGACGAAATCTGCTACGACTTTCTTGGTAACTGCCTTGTATGACGCCGCTTCGACCCATTTGGTGAAATAATCAATTGCCACCAAGATGAACCTGTGTCTGTTTGATGCAGCAGGCTTGATTGGTCCAATAACATCCATTCCCCAGGCGGCAAATGGCCACGGTGAGCTCGTTGTGGTAAGCTCGTTCCGGGGTACCTTGATCACATCTGCATGTATCTGACAACGGTGGCATTTTCGGACATACTGGATGCAGTCTGTCTCCATGGTCATCCAAAAATATCCTGCTCGAAGTATTTTCTTTGCCAAAACGAAACCATTCATATGCGGTCTGCAGTTTCCTGAATGCACCTCCTCTAATAACTTGGTTGCTTCTGTCGCGTCGACACACCTCAATAATCCCAAATCAGGAGTCCTCCTATACAGGATTCCTCCGCTGTGAAAGAAGTTATTGGACAATCTCCGCAGCGTGCACTTCCGGGTAGCACTAGCAAGTTCGGGATACTCTCCAGTTGTCAGATATTCTTTGATGTCATGGAACCATGGTTTTCCATCAGCTTCTTCCTCGACGTGAGCACAGTATGCTGGTTGATTGTGAATCGGGACCCGGATGGGGTCGATGAAGTTCGTATCTGGGTGCTGGATCATGGATGATATAGTGGCTAGTGCATCTGCAAATTCATTCTGTATTCTCGGAACATGCTGGAATTCTGTCTTTCTGAATCTCCTCTTCAACTCTTGGATATGGTGCAAGTACGGGAGTATTTTGGAATTCTTGGTAGCCCATTCTTCGCGGACCTGGCGTATAAGTAGATCTGAATCTCCGATGATCAATAACTCCTGAATATCCATGTCAATGGCCAGTTTGAGCCCCAAGATACAGGCTTCGTACTCGGCCATATTGTTGGTGCACGGGAACCTGAGCTTGGCGGTTACCGGGTAGTGCTGACCTATTTCTGATACCAAAACTGCTCCTATACCGACTCCTCTGAAATTCACGGCCCCGTCGAAAAACATCCTCCAACCATCGTAGGATTCTGCAATGTCTTCTCCCACGAAATTTACCTCTTCGTCGGGAAAGTACATTTTAAAGGGTTCGTACTCTCCCTCTACGGGATTCTCGGCAAGATGATCTGCCAAGGCCTGTCCTTTAATTGCCTTTTGAGTAACGTAAACAATGTCGAATTCACTTAACAGGATTTGCCACTTGGTGAGCTTGCCAGTGGGCATGGGCTTCTGGAAAATGTACTTTAACGGATCCATCCTTGATATAAGATAAGTGGTGTAGGCGCAGAAATAGTGCCTCAATTTCTGGGCTACCCAAGTCAAAGCGCAACAGGTGCGCTCTAACAAGGAATACCGAGCCTCGTACGGGGTAAACTTCTTGCTGAGATAATAGACAGCTTGTTCTTTTCTTCCCATTTCATCGTGTTGTCCCAAAACACAACCAAAGGCTCCATCCAGGACTGCGAGATAAAGCAATAAAGGTCTTCCGGGTTCAGGCGAAAGCCTTTTGACATTCATCGGTCCATTTTGTAGCAGCATCCTTCTTTAGCATTTTGAAGATTGGCTCGCAGATGACGGTAGATTGAGCTATGAACCGGCTGATATAATTAAGCCTTCCCAGAAAGCTCATCACCTCTTTCTTGTTTTTCGGAGGCGGCAACTCTTGGATGGATTTGACTTTAGATGGGTCCAGCTCTATCCCCCGGTGACTTACAATAAAACCCAATAACTTTCTAGCAGGGACCCCGAATGCACAGTTGGCGGGGTTCGGTTTCAAATTATACCTCCTCAGCCTGTTAAAGAACTTCCGGAGGTCTTCCATGTGATCTGCAGCTTTTCTGGACTTGATGATAACGTCATCCACATACACCTCGATCTCTTTGTATCATGTCGTGGAAGATGGTAGTCATGGCCCTCATGTAAGTAGCTCCGGCGTTTTTCAACCCAAACGGCATCGTTCTGTAACAATACATTCCCCATGGCGTGATGAATGCTGTTTTCTCCGCATCTTCCTCATCCATCCATATTTGGTGATATCCAGCAAAGCAATCGACAAACGACTACAACTCGTGCTTGGCGCAGTTGTCGATCAGAATGTGTATGTTTGGCAAGGGGAAATCGTCTTTGGGACTGGCCCGGTTGAGATCCCGGTAGTCGACACAGACTCTGACCTTCCCGTCTTTCTTTGGCACTGGCACAATATTGGCTAACCAAGTCGGACACTCAACCACCTGAAGGACTCTGGCTTTGACCTGTTTGGTGACCTCTTCTTTGATTTTCAAACTCATGTCTGGTTTGAACTTTCTGAGCTTCTGTTTTAGCGGCGGACATGCTGGATCGGTTGGCAACTTGTGGGCGACGATAGACGTACTGAGACCAGTCATATCATCGTAAGACCATGCGAAGATGTCTTCATATTCTCTTAAGAACTCTGTATATTCTTTCTTTTCTGTCGATGATAAGTGCACACTGATGCGCGTTTCTTTTACATTATCCGCATCCCCCAAATTGACGACCTCGGTCTCATCCAAGTTGGACTTAGGCTTGTTCTCAAAATTCTCAACTTCCCGAACAACCTCTTCTGGTCTCTCATCCTCTTCTGAATCTATATCCGTTTGTTGCATAGCCTCACTGCAGGTTACAGTTGTCGGTTCATCATCAAGACATGTAATAGTAATGCTGTATGAATAAAGTAAATAGCAAAGAAAGTAATAAGTAGCAAGATATTTGAGAAGCTGAAAAGGTGCTTTTGATTGAAATTCATAAATGTTTAACCATCGGAGCTCTTTTGGAAAGTAAAGACATTGGGGAAATTAAAAAAAAAGCGATTAAAACAAAATGCATGGTATTCGTTCAGCCTTGCTACCCCGAAGATCTCCGGGCAACGGTGGTCCTGATTGACCAGTTGGTGAGGTGCTCCCCTCGGTTTACAGCCAGAATGGAAGGGCCTTCCTCCCCTTCGTCCTCAAAAATCACACAACAATCCATGTCCTCTCCCAGAAACAGATTCTTCAAAGCCACGAGAGCCTCGTCTTCTTCGGAACCGTAAATGATGTCGGCCAGTTGGAATGTCTGCTCTAGCTGAGGTATGGGGTATTCCAATGGGTAATAGGGACCGTGCCATGGTGGCGACCAGGATTGGAATTCTTCCCAAGTGTACTCATAGCCCAAACCGAAATTAGTACCATGCTTCTTCAATTGAATGGGTTTGGTGATGCCTTGAAGATTCTTACCGAGCCCTTTACCCGGTTCATACCCGCTCCAGTTCAAAATGCTTTCAATTTTGTTGCTCCACCATTTGTCTTTGTCCACCGCATTTACTCGTTCAATGTGGTGATATGTTTCTCCACCTATCCTTCTTCTTCCTCCGATCATTGGGACGGTTTGGCGACTGTATATAGGATGAGTACCATCGCCGTGGATGATCACTTCCTGATGGTTCTATCCGAACTTCATGGCCTGATGCAAAGTCGAGGCCACGGCTCCAGCAGCGTGGATCCAGGGTCGTCCTAGCAACAAGTTGTAGGATGCTGGGACATCAATGACTTGGAAATCGACATCGAACCAGGTGGGCCCCATCTGTAAGCATAAACTGATTTCTCCAAGGGTGGATCTCTGGGACCCATCAAAAGCTTTGACACTGATCGCTCCGTCCTTTATCTCATGCAAACCTTTGCCCACTGTTCTGAGGGTGACCAGCGGACAAATATTGAGGCTAGAGCCTCCATCGACCAAGATCCGGGTGATGAAGTGATCTTCGCACTGCACGGTGATGTGTAGTGCCTTGTTATGGCCCAACCCTTCTGGTGGCAGCTCGTCTTCATGGAAAGTGATTTTGTGACTTTCTAGCACCTGCCCTACCATATTCGCCATTTCTCCTCCCGTTATGTTACTCGGGACGTATGCTTCATTTAATATCTTCATCAAGGCATTCTTGTGTGCCTCGGAACTTTGTAGCAAGGCTAAGATAGAAATTTGTGCCGGAGTCTTGCTTAACTGTTCAGCTACCGTGTATTCCTTAGCCCGTATTTTCCTCCAAAGATCATCTGGCCCGGTCTGAATAGTGCGACCAGAGGCCTGCTTGCTAGACTCGGCTAGGTGCTCGAGCGTGTAAACACTGTCTGTTCTAGTCATACCCTGTGCCGCGGTTGCTTCACCCGTGCGTACTTTCCCTTTCCTTCTGGATTCAGCTGTGTAATCCCAAGGTATGGCATTGGTTTGAAAAGGAGTTATGTCTGTCATGGTGACTGGAATGGGCATCCTTCGTGGTAGTACAGTAACCTCGACCAGTGCAGGTGCCATCGGAGTTTCGAACTCCACTACAATGGGTTTCTGTACCTCTGCAGGGGGTGCTTCAAATTCGAACGGGACTGATATGTTTACCACGTCGCCCTCAGATGGCTGTATTTGCACAATGATGGGATTGAGTGTGACTGCTGGCTCCTTGGGTTTGTCTCCTTTAGTTATCAAACCGATTGACCCTTTGGGGTCCCAATCGTCCTCGATTTCGATCATATGGATGCCACTACCTTTGTGATCTGGCAGGGGTTTGTTTCGAACATTTGGCGCAGGCTCCTTGGCTACAATGACCTTAGTGTCAATCAAGGTCTGAATCTTGTCTTTCAAGCAACGGCACTCCTCAATAGTATGCCCTTTCATCCCCGAATGGTATGCGCAGCTTTTGTTTGGATTGATCTACTGGAAGGTGTTTTCTGGAATGACGGTTGGGATGGGTATGACATAACCGGCGGTTTTGAGTTTTTCGTATAGTTGGTCGATGGGTTCTGCAATGACGGTATATTGTCAAGGCGGTTTGCGGTCGAAGTTGGGTCTTGGTCGTGGAAAATTCTAGCGAGTAGGTGGTGATGGGTAATGCGGAGGTTGAGAGTGGTATGCTTGGTATACCGGTGCTGGCGAGGAGGGTTGATAAGTGGGCGGCGGAGGTGATTGGTAGGCAGGTGGTGGATTTTGGTATGTGGGTGATGGTGCTTGGTAGCTCGGAGGGATTTGGTATGTGACTGGGATTGGAGGGTAGGTTTGGTATTTTAAGGGAGATTGGTTGCGCTGCGCACCCATTACGGAGTTTACCTCTTTCTTTTTGGATGTACCACCGGACTGTAGGACTTTGTTGGTAGCCTGCAATGTCTCAAGGTTAGTGACCATACCATTTTTGATTCCTTCCTCAATCCATTCCCCTAACTTGATGATATCCGAGAACTTCTGTCCTTCTGTCAACATTAGTCTTTCATAGTACTGTGAGTCCTGAGCACGGACGAAGAATCTGTTCATCTGCTCTTCTTCTAAAGCTGGCCGAACCTTGGCAGCTTCCGACCTCCAATGAGTTGCATACTCGCGAAAGGTTTCAGTGGGCTTTTTCTTCAAGTTCTGAATATAAAACACATCGGGCGCATTCTCCGTGTTAAACCTGAAATGATCCATAAAATCCGAGGCCATGTCGACCCAGTTTGCCCATTTTCTCGCGTCCTGGCTGAGGTACCAAGACATGGCGTCCCCCTTCAGACTCCTCATGAATAATTTCATACGTATCTTCTCATCCTTCCTGACTCTGACCAGCTTGTCGCAGTACATCCTAAGGTGAACCCTGGGATCGCCAGTGCCATCGAACATCTCGAACTTGGGAGGCTTGTACCCCTCCGGGAGTTCGACATCAGGCTGCACACACAGGTCCTCATATTTCAATTCCTCCTTATCTTTGGTACTTTCATAACCCCGCATACGGCTAGTCAATTCTTTGAGTTCTGCAGCCATGCTCCTGATGAGTGAGTCCTTAGTGCTTACTTCTGTCATGTCTGAAATGGGCTGAGCATAGTGAGGCACTGTATCTACGAAGATAGGGGCACCCTGATTGTTGGGAGCATCCTGCGGCTCGGGGATGAGCAGCGGAGCATTGTTGCGGTTATGAGCATGATTGGGCTGCGGGCCTTTTGGTGGAGGAACCGGGACCTGATCATTGACATCTGCAGTGGTGAGGGTAATCGACAAGTTTTCCAAATTTCTAACTTGATCCAACTCTTCCCGAAATTTCAACAGAGTCTGCTCCAGATAGGCAACAGTTTCCTTGGTGATTGGAGTTCCCTGAGAAGTGCCTTCGCTTTCCTTGTTGTCTGCCATTTTCCCTTTGTTTCTGTTTCTAGGAGGACTTGGAAGAGAGGGAGGAGGACCCTTTGATCTTGTTGAGTAAGTTGATGGTGCCAGAATGCACGAACTAACCTTTGTGGGAGGGGAATAATCAAAAAGAGGAAGACAAAAGGTAAGGAGTTAGTGCGGGTTCTGAGAAAGGAGAATATTGCAGTATTTAAACACATAGTTGCAGGAATATAAACCGTGTCCTATTTGGGTGCCTCGTTGTGCCCGAGGTAGGCCTAGCGACAGATAGAATTTGGAGAACTTATAACACCAAGTGCCTCATTTCATTGATAAAAATAGACCGAGTTTAAAAACAACGAGAATGAAAAATATTGTCACTAATGGCCAGTGGCCTTATTACATTAAGGAAAGCAATAAAGTCCTAACTACTTGGTCCCAGAAGGACCTTCCCCAGATTGAATGCTCTCGTTGATCAGATCCTCCAGCCACCTTAGCAACTTGGGATGTATGTTTGATACCATACCGAATCTGGGGACCTCGTTCCTCATTTTCTGCAAAAAAGAATGTTAGGCCCTAACCCCACCAGACTCGACTATTTAGATCAATAATTAGCAGTAATGGTATTTAGTTCTCCAAATAAATGCATATAACGTGAAGGTGTCCGTTTGGGTTTCAAGGAAACCCGGTGGACATTTGGTTTAGGCTTTCTTAATGAGTCAATATATGGATAGCATAACTGACTCGGCTAAGTTGACTGGATGGTGCATGAGCAGTTTATCTGAGTAAGGTTTCTATTTTTGAAGTGCTAGACAAGGTACCCTTGAGCGGACAACTCAAGAGGGAAAGGCGCGGAACCGTCGACTACACCATTGATCGACTGGTTTTACCGCAAATAAGCCTTTGCCAGATTTAGGGGGTGATAATATCGGAAGAGCGCAACCACTCATTATAAGCGCTGCTATGGGATTTTTTTGGCACGAGTGAAGTATGATGTTGAAGGGATGCAGTTACAAGTAAATACATGTATTTTCACGTTCATACAATAAAATGCTTGAATTTAAAGACAGAATTGAAGAAATGTAAAGGCAGTAAAGCAGTAAAAGCAGTTAAGGAAAAGAAATAAGTCAGTAAGTGGAAAAAATAATTAAAGCAGTAAATAAATGCAATAAAGGAAAGCAGTAAAGTCACAAATGCATGTAATGGTAAAAGCCTTAAAAGAAATCCCCAGCAGAGTCGCCATGCTGTCGACGCCCCCCTTTTTCAACCCCAAAAGGAGCTGAGATCGGGTTTACGACATTATGGGCAAAACAACTCTCATTCCGGTTAGGGAATTGGGTAATGAATTTTGGAGAGTCGCCACCTAATGATTATAGTGCATTAGGACACTTAAAAGAGATAAAAGAGTGCTTTTTAGATGAAAACTAGAGTTCGGGTAAGGGCTTGAGATTATCTCGAGGGGAAGGTGTTAGGCACCCCCCAAGATCCACAAATGTGGTTCCCGGCCATGCAAATTGTGACTTTAGAAAGGAGTAAATAAGCAACAAAATACACATGTACAAAATTCCAATAATTTGAAAAGCTTTAAAGAAAAGGAAGAACATAAATTTGAAGAGAAGGTTATGTTGAAAAGCATTAGGAAAGCGTTAGGCAAAGCAAGTAAAGAGAAAGAAGGGTCCTAGGTTTAACTATAATATGGATCATTTGGTGCAATACCCGGCAACCATTCTCACTCAAGTGGTATTAGTGCACCGTCATCATCTCCATATTCTACCCTCCCCACCCCGTTAAGGTATTAAAATGCGTTGGTATCGTTTCCTTATTGCATGCTAGTACCCGTCCCGACCTATTCAGTCCCGGGGCATTAGGACTTCTAATCCTAAGAAAGAGGGAGAAGGAAGTAGGGTACGTATATGGAGTATTCAAAGGTTAAAATGCTAGAGCGACAGTCAAAACAAGTAACAAATAAAAGGTATGCAAACAAACAGTTAAAGGCTCAAGTAAGCCCCGTAGCATACAGCAAATAGTTTAGCATGACTTCAATTATAGTTTAGGTCTTTAAAAAAAAGATTTAAAAGGAGCAGACAGATTTAGCTAGAACATATAAGAGTTGGGTGAAAAATCTGCTTCGAACCCCTCGGGCCCGTTTTAGAAGTTGACGGGTCTTGAAAAATCAGTGAGACTTAGAAGAAAAGATGCTGGTTGCAGACAGGAGTCCGTTAAAAATATTTAAAGTTACAGGCGAATT